GAAGGGCTGGAGCTACAATTAGCCACCAGGTCTGTCTCGACTGAAAAAAAATGCACAACCTAAAAAGTTGAGATTTATGTTTTATTTGGTGGACAAGACTGAGGACTGAAGCTTGAGACAAACCATCTCAGATAGCTCTCAGAGACTGCTTTCAAAGAAGTAAGGGAAGACCCAGGATATATAGCAGCTTTTTTTTGTTTGTTTTAAACTTTATTTTGTATTGGGGTCTAGCTGATGAACAATGTTGTGACAGTTTCAGGTGAACAGTGAAGGGACTGAGCCACGCATATACATGTACCCTATAGTAGTTTTTAAAACAAAGACCAGGTAATTTGAACATCAAAAGTCTACTGTTAATGAAAGAAAACTAGATATCTCAAGTTAAGGAATTTAGCACTTTTCTTTAAAAAAGCAGATGCAAGAGTTTTACTGAAATCATTCCTTTGATATGCACCTCAGCTACCTGGGTGGACACATTCTCATCTTGAGCCTCCTCAGGGTGCAGTGTCTGGGGGTAAGGGGGGAAAAGGGGGAGGGTGGCTGCAGCACTGACCACTAAATGGGGTCATCCTGTTTCTAGCCTGAGTTCCTTCCAGGTTCACCTTCAGGGCAGCTGTAATGTGATGGCTTGAGGGCTGCAACACCCTTTATTTACTGATTTTGAAGGCAACATTTTTTCGTTAACATCTATCTGACATCAGAAGAGCCTGAGCTCTTACTCTGGACTACCTCTGGTAGTACTGATCTTTCTTTTCCCTTGGGAAGCAAGTGCTGTCATCCAGGCCTCTTTTGGTGGAATAAGGACAGTTGGGAGGGTCCTTAGTCGGCAGACCTCAAGAATTTCCAGTCTGGAGCATCTCACTGTTGACAAACACCCACAGTGAACAGGCAGGATACCTATTAACATCTGTTTGTTTTCCTTGTGAAAACCTAATGAAGACAACTTCAGAGGGATGGAGTATTTTAACTAGCTCACTGATACGCAGAGTACTCCTTCACCAAAGCTCCAACCTCTGAATTGAAACCAAAATCGCTTCACTAAACTAACATCAACTCTGCCTACAGACCTGAGATTCTAGGCTAACACCCCCACAAGGACATCACAATACATTGGCCTGGACCTTGTCCTGGCCTGTGGCTCTTGGCGTGTCCCAGACAACCCTGGACCGACACACAGGAAGTAAACGGAGAACAAGGAGAAGGACTCAAGGGGACAAAGCAAATGAGGCCACTCCCTTCTGGGGGACAGCTGCTCCATCAAAGTCTGGGAAGAGAGGTACTAAGTTAACTTCCACGGTCCCTTATCAATTAAGTTAATTTATTTTAAAGTATGTGCTCATTGAAGAAGCTTTGGAAAAAAACAGATATGAGGAAGAAACAAAAATTACTCATGAATTTACTCTACTAGAAACAAGTATTACTCTTTTGGAATCTATTTTCTATTTGTGCTGTTGTTTTCACATAGTTGAGATTATATTTTATTAAAATATATAATTTTGTACTCAGTTGTAAAAAATAAATGTACTCTCACTTAATTTAGAATTATTATTAAATATCATGTGCATGGGTAAATTGTATTTCCTTTAATTACATGGACAAACTTATGTTTTACTCAGTCATTCCTCTATTTTGAAGTAGTTTCCAATTTTTCTATTATAAACAATCCTTAATTAATGACTTTGTATCATAAAGCCTGGTCTGTATTTCTGCATTATTTTAGAATTAGGTTATCAAAACTAAAATTCATAAAAGTACAAACATTTTACTGGCAAATTGCTTTCCAAGAGGGTTGTACTAATTTATAAGTCAACTTGCAATGTGGGAAAATGCCAATTTGACAGCACTTTGCCAGCACTGAGAATTATCTTCTAAAATCTTTGCCGATTTGAAGGGAATAAAAAAGCCACTTCTCTCTGTGTTTTCAATTTGCTTTGCTATATTAGTTATCTAATAACTAATATCTGAGGTTATTGATATTTCTCCCTGCAATCTTGATTCCAGCTTGTGCTTCATCCACCCCCACATGATATACTCAGCACAGAAGTTAAAAAAGCAGGGTGACAATATACACCCTTGGAACCAGTCTGTTGTTCCATGTCCAGTCCTAACTGTTGCTTCTTGACCTGCATACAGATCTCCCAGGAGGCAGGTCAGGTGGGCTGGTATTCCCATCTCTTGAAGAATTTTCCAGTTTGTTGTGATCCACACAGTCAAAGGCTTTGGAATAGTCAATAAAGCAGAAGTAGATGTTTTTCTGGAACTCTCTTTTTTGATGATCCAACGGATGTTGGCAATTTGATCTCTGGTTCCTCTGCCTTTTCTAAATCCAGCTTGAACATCTGTAAGTTCATGGTTCACATATTATTGAAGCCTGGCTTGGAGGATTTTGAGCATTACTTTGCTAGAGTGTGAGATGAGTGCAGTTGTGCGATAGTTTGAACATTCTTTGGCATTGCCGTTCTTTGGGATTGGAATGAAAACTGACCTCTTCCAGTCCTGTGGCTACTGCTGAGTTTTCCAAATTTGCTGGCATATTGAGTGCAGCACTTTCACAGCATCATCTTTGAGGATTTGAAATAGCTCAACTGGAATTCCATCACCTCTACTAGCTTTGTTCACAGTGATGCTTGCTAAGGCCCACTTGACTTCACATTCCAGGAAGTCTGACTCTAGGTAAGTGATCACACCATTGTGGTTATCTGGGTCATGATCTTTTTTGTATAGTTCTGTGTAGTCTTGCCACCTCTTCTTAATATCTTCTGCTTCTGTTAGGTCCTTACCATTTCTGTCCTTTATTGTGTCCATCTTTGCATGAAATATTCCCTTGGTATCTCTAATTTTTTGAAGAGAGCTCTGGTCTTTCCCATTCTATTGTTTATCTCTCTGTCTTTGCCTTGATCACTGAGGAAGGCTTTCTTATCTTTCCTTGCTATTCTTTGGAACTCTGCATTCAAATGGGTATATCTTTCCTTTTCTCCTTTGCTTTTAGCTTCTTTTCTCAGCTATTTGTAAGGCCTCCTCAGACAACCATTTTGCCTTTTTGCACTTCTTTTCCTTGTGGATGGTCCTGATCCCTGCCTCCTGTACAAGGTCACTAACCTCCGTTCACAGTTCTTCAGGCACTCTATCAGATATAATCCCTTGAATCTATTTGTCATTTCCAGTGTATAATCGTTAAGGGATTTGATTTAGGTCATACCTGAATGGTCCAGTGGTTTTCCCAATTTTCTTCAATTTAAGTCTGAATATGGCAATAAGGAGTTCATGATCTGAGCCACAGTCAGCTCCCAGTCTTGTTTTGCTGACTGTATAGAGCTTCTCCATCTTTGGCTGCAAAGAATATAATCAATCTGATTTTGGTATTGACCATCTGGTGATGTCCATGTATAAAGTCTTCTCTTGTGTTTGTGGAAGAAGGTGTTTGCTATGACCAGTGCGTTTTCTTGGCAAAACTCTGTTAGCCTTTGCCCTGGTTCATTCTGTACTCCAAGGCCAAATTTGCCTGTTACTCCAGGTGTTTCTTGACTTCCTATCTTTGCATTCCAGTCCCCTATAATGAAAAGGACATCTTTTTTGGGTATTACTTCTAGAAGGTCTTGTAGGTGTTCATAGAACCATTCAACTTCAGCTTCTTCAGCATTACTGGCTGGGGCATAGACTTGAATTACTGTGATATTGAACAGTATCACAATATCACTGCAGATGGTGAATGCAGCCATGAAATTAAAAGACGCTGGCATCTTGGGAGAAAAGCTATGATCAACCTAGACAGTATATTAAAAAGCAGAAACATTACTTTGCCAACAGAGGTCTGTGTAGTCAAAGCTATGGTTTTTCCAGTAGTCGTGTACGGATGTGAGAGTTGGACCATAAAGAAAGCTGAGCGCCGAAGAACTGATGCTTTTGAACTGTGGTGTTGGAGAAGACTCTTGAAAGTCCCTTGGACTGCAAGGAGAACCAACCAGTCCATCCTAAAGGAAATCAGTCCTGAATATTCATTGGAAGGACTGATGCTGAAGTGGAAGCTCCAATACTTTGGCCACCTGATGCAAAGGACTGACTCACTGGAAAAAGACCCTGATGCTGGGAAGGACTGAAGGTGGGAGGAGAAGGGGATGACAGAGAATGAGATGGTTGCATGGCATCACTGACTCAATGGATATGATTTTGAGTAAGCTTTGGGAGTTGGTGATGGACAGGGAAGCCTGGTGTGCTGCAGTCCATGGGATCACAAAGAGTCGGACATGACTGAGTGAACTGAACTTAACTGACTAGTTATCTATGGAGTTGAGTATTTCTTCATCATTTTAGTCATTTATATCCCTTCTTTTGTGAATTCTCCCAACTGTTTTCATCTTTAATGAATTATTCTGTCATTAATTTCATTAAATATCTAATTATGTGGTACAAATGTGAAATGTAGAAGAGTTGCAAATTTTATAACTGAACTAACTTTGTATATACTATTAATAGAGATTACTAATATACCCTAAGAGTTAGAGTAGTTCGGAGACCTAACTAAAATAGAATTCTGGAAATATTTTAACAGATTAGAAATGTTACTTGTGACAGTCTCTATTTATAGCCGCCAACAATGGAAAATAACTTAGGTGTCCAGCAAAAGGGAAGGCCTGGGACCCCATGACAAGTACACCTGAGGAATGGAAGAGAAGGTGGGGTAGGATGGGATGATAAAAACTTTTACTTCTCATTTCATATGTTTGAACTTCTTTTATTTTTACCAAGTACTTTAACTACTCCTAAAACTTAAAAAATTAAATTTAGATTTAAAGAAACTAATAAATATGTGACCAATGTCATACATGATTCATATGAGACAAATAATAAAAGTAAAACAAAATTGTGCATACAATATCACAAAAAAGTTTATAAAATTCACTTGACAGAAATATGAAGTGACATAATAAAAATTTTTTTCTGTGGAATCAAAAACAGTGTGGCTGTCAAAGAGTTATATATAACTTTTTAATATGATTTTTCCCCCTCAAACAAAATCTTTTCATTGACCTACGAAGTCTTATGAAAGATGTTCTTCAAATGATATACTTTACATTTTTGTGTGAGGCTCCTATTGTACACACCTCAGAGGGCATGTCTTCCAGCTTTGTGCTTGACTATTTTATTATTTTTTTTTAATGTTTTGGGCATACTGTGTGGCATGGGAGATCTTATTTCCCTGACCAGGTATAGAACTTTCACCCCCTGCATGAGAAGTGAGAAGTCTTAAGCACTGGATTGCCAGGGAAATTCCTCAGCTATTTTAAAGGTGACATTTCCAAAGGCCAGTTCAATCCCTTCTGCCAGGTGGCAGCAAATAGTTCTTACTGGACAAATAGTTCTTAATGGACAGCAAATAGTTCTTAATGGACAGCAAATAGTTCTTAATGGACACCAGGCACCTTGATAAATGAATCTACCTGAGATAGACACTTTGGAAACAGGAACTAAGGTAGGAGGTATTCACAGACAGCAAAGAGTCATTTCAAGTAATCTGACAGTAAGTTAAACTAAACAACCTACAGACAGACCACCACAGCCACTCCAAGAGAAGCAATGTCTTAAAAAAGACCCAAGTCCCTTCTATCTGCTACCCTAGACAAGGTAAGTAAACTCTAAGTAAAAGGCTCTATGTGTAACTTGTGAGTCTTTGTTCCCTAAGTGTGTAAACTATTCAATAATAATGTAGGGAAACAAGGGCTCTCATACACTTCTTATAGCAGTATAAGTTGGTAAAACTCTTGAAGGCAATTTAGTGATAAATTTCAGAAATCCTAAAGAAGGCATATAGCCTATGACACAACACTTCTATTTCTAGGACTCTATTTCTGTGTAAGAAAATAATTGAACATGGGTGTGAAAATTACTGTTAGAAATTACATAACAGAATTAACTGTATGGCAATTCCCTGGTGCACTTTCACTGCTGGGGGCAGGGTTTGATCCCTGGTTGGGGAACTATGCCTGGTGATGAAGCCAAAAAAAATTTAAAAATAAAAAAAAGAAGGAAAATTAACTGTAATACTATTTAAACAGCTGAAAACTGAAAACTATTAACTAGATATTTAATAGTAGAAGTTGGTTAAAGAATTTCTGTTTATTGGTCAATACAATGGAACAGTAAGTAGCCATGAAAAATGACAGACTAAATGTTTATCGACATTTGCAGCAGGCTGTATTTTTGGTGCCAATTCTTTACCCCTCCCTATGTCCAGGCTCTTTGCCATATAACTTTGCAGTGAGCTCCCACTGTGGATGGGGAAGTATCTACCCCTGACCTCAGACATATGTTACATTTGCATCATGTGATACAACCAGAAACTTCAAAAGCTCATGCCTCACAGTTGTGTCTCTGCCATCAGTATGAGAAGAATATACTTAAATTAGTCCCCTGGTCCATGAGGATGACAGACATGCGGAGAAGAGCCCAGCCTAGATTAGCCGACTACAGCCAGCTGTTGATGCATGAATGAGCCCCGATGAAACCAACAGACTGTCTAGCCACATCCAACCTAGATGAGTTGACACCTAGCTGACTTACAGACGTACGAGTGAAGTAAATGTGTACTGTTGTTTTAAGCCGCTGAGTTTTGTTTTGTTTTTTTAAGCCGCTGAGTTTTGGAGTGCTTTGTCAAATAACATTTTTGAGGCAACAGTTAACTGATATATTTAAAAGTCTAAAAGGAAAATGGGGTGAAAATCTGGAAATATATACCTCTAATGCTAATCAACAGAGGATGAGATGGCTGGATGGCATCACCGACTCAATGGACATGAGTTTGAGCAAACTCTGTGAGACAGTGAAGGACAAGGAAGCCTGGCGAGCTGCGGTCCATGGGGTCGCAAAGAGTCGGACAAGGCTTAGGGACTGCCCAACAACAACAAATCACGTGTGTATCATTTTTCCCTCCAAAAACCTCACTGAAATGACAATAAAGCACTAAAAATTGTCTTAAATCACAAAAAATAGGAGAAGAGGTTATAGTAAAATAAATTTTAATACAATAGTGGAAACATTAAAAGCAGGAAGAGGAGGGGACTTCCCTGGTGGTCCAGTGGTTAGGAATCTGCCTTGCAATGCAGGAGATTTGGGTTCCATCCTGGTCAGGGACCTAAGATCCCACATGTGGCAGAGCAAGTAAGCCTGTGGGCCAGAACTACTGAGCCTGCATGCTTCTGAGCCCTCGCACCACAACTAGAGAACCTGGTGTGGCAACAAAAGAGCCCACATGAAGCAAAAAATATCCCACATGCCTCAACTAAAACCTGATGCAGTCAAACAAATATTTTAAAAAATAAATAAAACAATATTAAGATGCATTAACAAAAACTATTTTTTTAAAAGGAACAGGAAGAGGAATAAATGAGCAATATGGAAGAGAAAACAACTTAATGGCCTGCAGAGAGAAATAACAATAAAAATCAGGCCAACTCACCCCATACCACTTCTGAGAAATCCAGCACCTTGAAGGTATCAGATACTATGGAAGGTGGGATAAGTTACAGAGATGAAAATCAAACTGAAAGGTTTTGTACAGACCAGCTAGAACCCCAGGTCTCATCTCAACTATGTGCAACCAGTCAGTTGACTACCTCTACACACCCTCATCCTTCATTTTACTCCACCCCCAGAGATTATAGTTCTGGAGAAAATTAATTAAAGAGGCACAGGTCGAGGGATATTAAACACAGTAAAAAGCTAAAGAGAAGTGTGGACTGAAGAGTAGTAATGAGATTACATAGAAATATAAGTCAGAAAGAGAAAACCAAATACTGTCTATTAACACATACATATAGAATTTAGAAAAATGGTACTGATGAACCTATTTCACAAGGCAGGAATAACATGGAGAACAGACTTATGCACACAGCAGGGGAAGGAGAGGGTGGGACAAACTGAGAGAGTAGCACTGACATATATGCAGTACCATGTGTAAAACAGATAGCTAGTGGGAAGCTTCTGTATGACACAGGGAGCTCAGCTTCGTGCTCTGTGATGACCTCGAGGGGTGGGTAGGAGGGAGGCTCAAGAGGGAGGGGATATATGCATACTTATAGCTAATTCATCCCTCGAGTATGAAACGGCAACCCACTCTAGTATTCTCGCTGGCGTATCCCAAGGACAGAGGAGCCTGGCTGGCTACAGTCCATGGGGCTGCAAAGAGTTGGACATGATTGAGTGACTGAGCACACACATAGCTGATACATGTTATTGTACAGTAGAAACAACACTGTAAAGCAATTATCCTTCAATTAAAAAAAAATCCATGTATTCCAACCAGCCACCTCCTCTGCAACTGCTCTCGCAGTTGATCACATGAAGCCCCTACCCCACTGCAACTCCAACCCTGTTACCCTTATGCAGGGAACTGGAAGATTCCTCTGTGGAAAAACTAAATACATTCAGAGGAAAAGAAAACGATGAAAAAGAAAATGATGACATTTAGGGATCCTCCCAACAAAAAAAGTTAGCGAGCTGTCTGACCTTGCTACAATGAGAATGATCCATCAACAAATCTTGCCCATGTACACAGTCTCAAATCAACAAGTTAGTATAATATCCTTAGATAATAAGCAGACAGCTAAGGATCACTATAAATAAGAGAAAATCTCCCCACATGAAAGATAGAGCTCAAGATAAACAGAAAAAAAAATAGGCAGCCATGGGTGGGGGGGAAGGGGGAGTCCAGGAAGACAAAGGGATCATGCTTAGAACAAACGGAAACTAAAAACAAAAACAAAACCAAGAAAACTCAGCTTAGAGCACTGTGTGACAAAATAAGAATGATGCCTCAGAGAAACAACTGGAGACCAACAAAGAACTTAAAAGTATAAAATAAAAATTAAAAATTCCATGTAAGAGTCAAAAGATAAAAACAAGGAAGTATTCCAGAGAAAGAGGAAGGAAAAATGATAGGAAAAATCAACAGAAAATAAAACATGTAAATTAGATCAAAGCAGGGGGCCTGGATTTGATCCCTGGTCAGGAACTAAGATCCCACATGCTGTAAGACCTCACACACCACAACGGAAGAGTTCACACGCTGCAGCGAAGATGGATGACCCTGCATGCTACAACTAACTAAATAAATAAAAACAATTTAAAAAAAACCCACAAACAATAGATTCTCAATGTAGAGGAAGCAGTCTTCTTTGAGAAGAAGATGCCATCTAGACTTTCACAGCTGAGAAGTCAATGCCTGGCTTCAAAGGACAAGCTGATTCTCTTGTGTGGGGCTAATTTTTTTTTTAATCAATAAACTATGTTTAAATTAAGCTATGTACATTGTTTTAGATATAATGTTATTGCATACTTAACAGAATATAGTATAATATAGACATAACTTTTATAGGTACTAGGAAACCAAAAAATTCCTGACTCACTTGATTGCAATATTTGCTTTATTGCTGTGATCTGGAACCAAACCCACAATATCTCTGAGGCATGTCTGTATTATTAGGCACTTGAAAGATCTAGCAGAGCAACTGGGGGAAAAAACTGTGATTGGTACAAAAGGATTAAGCATAGCAAAAACAGGCAAAAACTCTGCAATTAAAAAAAAATAAAAAGGTTGTACAAGACAGAAAAAATAACCATAGTTACTACTTTTCCCAGTAGTGAATAACACCTATACTCTCATAAAATATAGGTACTAACTACTAATTTAATCAAAGCTGTGAGGGACTTCCCTGGTAGTCCAGTGGTTAAGATTCCACTTCTCCACTGCAGGGAGCGCCATAAAAGAAACAGGTATCAAAGAGCTAAATTGTTATCTCCCATAATGAGACTCAACAACAGATAATGTCTAAAATTCATAATTCATCAAACAGCAACACTAGGTCTTATTTACAAACATGGAAATAGATACTAGCAAAAAAAAATTAGCTCCTTCAAAGACCTTGAACTAGGGGTGGGAAGAAGGATGCAGAGTGCCACTGTTCTCGTTGTAAGCCTTTTAGAATTTGTTTTTGTTCAAACTATGCTAACAGTGACTCTCTGAGTGGTAGAATCAGGATGTTTTAATTTTTCTCTTGGCTTATCTTAAATTTCTATAATAATATTATACTACTTGTGTAGTTTTCAAAAATCTTTTTGAATGCTGTTTTTTGCTTTTAATCCACAGCATAAGTGTTACAAAAAACCCTGCACAAATCAGGAACTAAGGTTTGTTCTTTCCTTTGGGGCCTTACCTTTCATTGTGGCCAAAATGAAGAAAGCAATGAGGGTGTTGTTGATGGCGCAGGTAGACTTGGCAACACAAGACAAGATCGTGTAGGGATTTAAAAGATAGCTGGAGAAAAACACACATATCTGACATTAGTAATCCTGGTCAAAGGACCAGGGAGTCCTGGCCACCACAGACAGAAAGTTCTTGAGGTTTACTAAAAGCATACTTAAGGGAAGGCAACATCTTAGAAATGAGTTCTCCTAAGTAAAAGAGGATGGAGTGGGGTTGTGGCCAGTGAATAAAAGGCACTGAACATTTACTGCTTATTCTTTGCTATGTTATATGGTAAAACCATCATATTTCATCATCACAGAGATTCTAGAAAACAGCAATAACATTATTCCCATTTTGCAGATGAGAAAACCAAAACTCAGTAGTTAAGTAACAAGCTTAAGGTTTTACAAGCTAACAAATACATTCAAAATCAGATCTTTCCGGCTCTAAAGCCTACATTTTCTATTACTTCAGGCTTCAAAAATTATAAAAATTCTACTAATTCCCACAGAGCCATATATTTTAGGAATGGCTACAGCTGTCTCTGAAAAACAGGAAACTACTTTTTCCTCAATCAGGTTCCTAAACTGTAATACAGGTTACCCCCATTCAAGAGGTGAGAGTGGCTTAAGTTTAGTTCTCTTGGCAGTCAAGCTACATCCACCAAGCCAGACCCAAAGGACAAAATAACTGTCTGCTGAATTCAACAATAGGAGAAGAGGAGAGTTGCACATAAGCCAGTGGCCACTGAACTGCACAGGACAGCTTGAACTTCCACTGGCAAGGAACTAATCTGAAACAGTCTTTTCCTGAGGCGGGAAGGAATGAACTGAAAAAAATGAATTTGTAACAATGAACAGGGAAATCTTAACACAGACATAACTGTATTTTTGTTTATTTTTATCCTGTTTCCACAAAAGATCTGAAGTAGCTCAAATGAGAACAGATGATAAAAAGTGAGAGCAAAATTAAAATAAAAATAAAGAATTAAGACCAGGGAAAACATAAATAAAAGGAAAAAGCCAAGATCAGGGAAAGAAGAACAAATAGGTCTTCTACAGCATTGTAATAATCAGCTTTAAATCTGGCTCTGAGGAGTTTCCTGGCAGACACAGTGAAAAGGGAGAACAGTTACATAATTCTGATTATCAGATAGGAAGAAACATGCCAGTGTCTCAGGAAGAGATTATAATTGTTATTCACAAATAAAGACCTTAAATCCAATACCTCTCAGAGCTGTAAGATTATCAGTTCTAAAGCCAACAGCCCAGAAATTGTTAATTTTTTCTAGCAATTATAGATAGACTTGTTACACAACCTTTAAAGAAATGACTGCTGCTATTATAAAACCACCCCCTGAGTCCATAAGGCATTCATAATGCTGCCAAACCTCTGTTTCTATTAGGTAGTTCCCACCAATATTTCTGAAATACATAGATATGAACTGATACCTCATATGTGCTTGGTGGGAGGGGGGAAAATGCCATTTCTAAACAGCAGGTGATGCTCAAGAAGCAGCTACACAACCACCTATCTGGAATACTGAATAGGAGAGTCACTCACAAGGCAGAGGGCTGAATAAACTGTCCTCATAAGACCCCTTCTAAATCTGACATTCTAAGGTCATGTCTTTCCATGAGGAAACTGGTCTGCCTTGTTTACTGTGTATCCTTAGGAACAAGTACATTATTAACATTTACTATCAGTTGACTGAATGATTATTCCCATTTGCTATCTCAGCAACATAAACAGGAATAACCTGAAAGAATTAGAGGTTACAGGCAGCACTGGTACACCTAGAGAATTCTTTCACAGAACCTCCGTTCAGTAAGCTCTACTCTTCCATGCTCGTCACCCAGCTGGGATGGGTCTGTTTGGCACTTCAGTTTAGTTTTCTGAACTACAAATGGGGCAGTAAATTCTACATGAGACATAGGAGTTGCTTGGAATAACAGCTGCATGAAGGCCAGAATTTTGTCCAATCCATATATTACAACTGAAAAATTTTCTGTTGTTATTGTTTTTAGAAATACTGGTTACATGGAGGCTGGAACCCAGATCAGCATCGAGTGAAAAAGCATCTGTGAAGGGTTGATTGTGCGTGTGCCTGTGTGAGGCTTTGTCCCAACAGAGACAGAATGGCTCTGTCTCTTTTCCTGGCCAGAACCCCAGCTGTGCAACAGAATTATAGCAAACACTTGATGACTAAGACTCCAAATCTCCAAAAATACAACAAACAACATGAGAAAGTCTCATCAGATTTTCCTTGCATTTGCTGGCACTGAGCCCTGTTTGGTCAGAGGATACTTACAACATGGCCACTTTCAGAGGGATGTAACGCATTTCCATAGGGGTTCGGATGAGTTCAGCCACATCGGGGGCATACTGGTCTAGTTCTAGGAGGAGTTTCTGTTTTTTAAACTGAAAAAAAAAAAAAAAGAAAGGACAAAACATGAAACAAGTAGTAACTTCCCACTGATTTTAGATTGACAACAAAAGTCCTTCCATGGCCCACGAGGCTTGCCTGGCCTGGCCCTACTTCTCCAGGCTCAGCTCACACCCACTCCCCACACCTCTCACTTTCTGGGTTCAAGCACCATGAACATGCCACCCTTCTCCTGTTCCCAGGCCTCTGTATTTAGCTGGAACAACCTCTTCTCTTTTCCCAGTTAACTGCCACACAGTCTTTGAGCTCCCAGTTAAATCATCACTTCCTCAGGAAGGCATACTCTTCACCGCCCTAACCGTAAAAATCTCATAACAGTGTTTGCGGCTAGAACTTTATTTATTTATGTGACTGACTAACATCTTTCCTCTTCAGTGACTGTAAGTTCCATGAAGGCAGGGACCATGTTTATTTGCCAATACCTGGCACAGTGAGCAAACAATAACTATTGAATGGCTAACTGAATGAATGGCAAGTCAATTTTTAGTCATTTTCTTTTTTTTTTTTTAAGTTCTACCACTTTATTGCTACCAACCCATCTCCCTCCACACTCGTGCACACATGCTCAGTCATGTAACCCCATGGACTGCAGCCTGCCAGGCTCCTCTGTCCATGGACTTTTCCAGGCAAGAATACTGGAGTGGGTTGCCATTTCCTTCTCCAATTTTTAGTAATTTTCAAAAGATATCATTAGTCACCCAAGGATTTCAAAGTTTCATCAAAGTGAAATGTTTTCATGCAAAGTGGAATGACCCCTCTGAATGTCATGGTGTCCTGGGTTTTCTTCTGTGCTCTCCTATTTGAAGTTGTTTTTATCTTTAGGCTGGCATTAGTGCTCTTTGATTTTCATTGCAGCATGCGAACTCTTAGTTGTGGTATGTGGGAACTAGTTCCCCAACCAGGGACTGAACTCACACCCCCTGCATTGTGAGCTCAGCGTCTTAGCCACTGGACCACCAGCAAAGTCCTGTGAAGTTTTTGACTTCCACAGAGGAAGTGGGAAATGACCATGATGAAGAGAAGGAGAAGGGTTGGGTGTGGCTGGGCAGCTGGATAGTTAAGAGGCAATGAGATGGAGCTGGAAAGCTCTTGCCTTCCCTTGTGTGTGTCCCAACAAGTTCATGGGTGTGTTCTAGAATGAAAAAAAGTTAGGCAACCCTACTAGCAAACGTGGGTCAAACTACAGGTAGAAAAAGCCTCTGAGGGACTTCCTTGGTGGTCCAGTGGCTAAGATTCCGAGCTCCCAATGCAGAGGGCCCGAGTTCGATCCCTGGTCAGGGAACGAGATCCCACATGCCACAACTAAGACCTGGTGCAGGCAAATAAGTAAATAAATATTAAAAAGAAAAAGAAAAAAGCCTTTGAACCCCAAATGGGTACCTCTGCTGATTTAAGGATCTTAGTATAAAATCAATTCTGTAGCCTATTATAAAACAGTAATTCAAAGAAGCCAAAGTAGTGTGTGATTAAAGATTTAAGGATGAAAACACAGATGGCAACAGAATATATACTGCATTACACTATTTACATAAAGTTAAAAGCATGCAAAATAATACTATATTCTATTTAGGGATATTTACAAATGCAGAAAAAGTTAGGGCCATGTGTGGAAATGATAAACACCAAAATCAGAACAGTGGTAACTGGTGAGAAGGGGAATAAGGCGATGAAAGTATCAGAGAGTCAACTACATGTGAAACATTTTACATTTTAAGCTGAAATAGGTTCAGAGTACATACTATTTTTTACATGTTTTTTCATGTATTGTATATTTAAATTTTAAAATTAAAAAAATAATAATTAAAAATTTAAAAAATTAAATTAAAAAAAAAATTTAAAGAGCCATCTTTCAGTTCAAAAGAAAATCTCAGGATCATCACAGGAACATAGGTAGCCCCAGATTTCCTGCACAGGTTTAAGCTGAGGCTTAATCAGAAAACCTGAACAAACTTCAAAAGCCTCCCTTTGATCATCTCTGGGAGTCCAAGTTAAGTGGTGGGAATTATCATCAGTAGGATTTATGCTGCCATTCACAGCTGGGATTATTTAATGGAAAGGGCAAAATATAAACTAAGGTGCTTTTATCAGAGAAGGTGACTGGCTCAGCAAACAAAGCATTTCATGAAGACAGCTGCAGCAGGGGTGGAAGGACGGAGGCCCCACTAGCTGGGGTTCTGGAGTTCAACTGCAAAAAGAAGGCCACCTGGAGGGCAAGAGAGCCACAAAGACAGACTGTTAAAAGGAAACAGGGAGTTCACCCAGGAGCAGCCGGAGAGACAGGTGGGAATGCAGGCCCACTCCCCAGGCTGGAAGCCAGCCAGCAGGACAGTTAAAGAGAGGAGGCAGTTCAACAGGGATGTGGAGGCCCCGGGCAAAGGTGACAAGTGCCAAAAAGGAAAGAATACTTCCGTGTAACCCCAACCTTCCAAAATACTTTAAAACAGAAAGATTTTACGCAAGGAGGGTCTCCACTGGAGAAGGGTAGTCAGGTCACCAGTCCCCAGACACTCTGCTGGCTCTCTTTTCGTCTCCCCAGTCTCACCAGCACAGCTGCCATTATGCCTGGCCTCAGAGGCTCAATACTGACTCAGAGCCCTGATGCACAGACAAAATTCCTTTAAAACATCCCCATGCATCCCAGTTACAGACAGAAGAGTGGCTAAGAATATGAGGAAAACTAAACACACAAGAAAATATTAGAAGTATAAAAATAAATGGGGTTAAGGAGTACAATTTAAAATCCAAAGATAAGTATCAATATATTTCTAGATATATTGAACAGCCACAACAATGAGATATACAGCTATCACAGGAAAGATTAAAAGTGACCTAAAAATTAATTACCTGGATGTGTTACCTTAGTAATCATGAATCAGCTTTTCTATATATTTCAGCAGAATTAAATATTCTGAATTTTAATATAAATAAAAATTACATTTTTCTGAATTAATATTTTTCAGGGTGGAGTTTTCCTTCCCTTTTACCCACTACTCCATGCAGCCATTTCCTCGTCCCTTGGAAAATTGGTTTTTTCAAGGACATAATTCCCTTATTCCAAATAAAGAGATTTTTCTAATCACTGAAGCTGTGTCTACACACTTTTGCATCCCCAAAACCTAGGGTGGAAGGGAGGGAATGAATTGTCCACCCCCACTATATTTTCAACTGCTAGCCTCAACACCTTTCAAATTCAGGAACCTACCCACCAAATTCACAACCATCTAAGCATATCAGAGGATGGAGGTTTTTATCACTCCCTATCAAACCACCTGAAGCTTTCTAACATAAATTCTGAATTCCAAATGAGCACAATCTCAGCAGAGGACAGACTAGACCAACTTTGTTTTTGTCAAGCGAGGCAGATGTAAAATGTCATGTGAACCAACTGGTCACAATCAATCAACACCCATATTCCACATGCTGAAGCTGGAGATGGGGGTGGGGATGCAGTCTTCCCTCTCTGCACCCTAGTTTTCCAGGATGCATTTGGGTGCACATGGGCTTCCCTGGTGGCTCAGACGTTAAAGAATCTGCCTGCAAGGCAGGCGATCTGGGTTCGAGCCCTGAGTCAGGAATAGCCCCTGGAGAAGGGAATGGCTACCACTCTAGAGGAACCTGGTGGGTTACGGTCCGCGGGGTGGCAAAGAGTTGGACCCAACTGAGTGACTAACACTCCTACTACTACAGCTTCATTACCAAGGATAAAAAGTCTCAAATTCCAGCAAGACTAGAATACCATCAGACTATACGATATGGGCCCATTCTGACAAAGTGGGAAAGATTTGGAATCAACAGTAGTATGTTAGTATCATCAAAATCTGTCATTTATTCAATAGGATGAGTTAAATTTTGACACACTACAAATGAAGACTTATTCTGACCAAGAAACCTAGTGTTCTAGTAGGCTGAAATCTGAGGATGTAGAAACAAAACTATTCCAAATTTTTAAATCAGTCTTGGTGATACCAGATAGCACACTCTGTCTTGGTGTGCTAAAAACCACAGTATTGACAATAACTCATTTAATTTCTCTCTCCCTCTTTAAATCACACAAAGAAAAAAAAAATCTATATGTTTCCATATAAAGTCAGAAATAACTAAGAACTGAATTAAAATTATTGGCCCTCTAAATTAAAAGTATCTCTTTTACTGACACTAAAGCCTGACTTTGTTAGGAAACTCACTGAAATTTAGTTTCATTATTTCCCCATAAGCTTCTCCTCCCATTAAAAATTGTTTTAATTGGAGTATATGACGATTGATCAGGGAAAAAAAAGGAATACATATGATGTTAGCATCTCTAATCAGCTTTCATTAAAACACATTTCAGTATTTTAATGAAACTGGTTGATTTATTAAAGAACACAAATGAACATCTGTTTCATCTAAGAACACAGATATGGTTGATTGTGTTCTTAGGTGAAAGCTACCAACCCTCCCTTAGATATTCACATATATCCCATATATATACAAACACACACACACACTGGTGAGTATAGACATGGATCTATTTTCTATTTTTTCCTCCAGTGTTTTACACTAAAAGCTTTCAAACTATAGAAAAGTTGAAAGAACAATAAAATACCTAGAACTGTTAACACTTCCACATTTTATCTCTACACACACAGACAAAAACACACACCAGATGCATTTTTTTCCAAAACCATTTTAAATTAAGTCACAGATATCATGGCCCTTCACCCCTAAATATTTTAGCATGTAACTTCAAAGAACAAAGATTGGAGTTTACATACACAATCTATCTTGGGAGAAGAAAATAACTACTGCTATTTTATCTCTGAATTCCTCTGCTTAGAAATCTCATGCTCAGTTATTTCACCACTGGCCTTCCAGGGAATCCTGTTAAAGCACTCTGTGTGTGTGCTGTTGTGTCCGACTCTTTGAGACCTCATGGAGTATAGTCCTCCAGGCTTCTCTGCCCATGGAATTTTCCAGGCAAGAATACTGGAGTGGGCTGCTATTTCCTCCTCCAAAGGATCTTCCCAAGTCTTTGGGAATGACAACCTGAGTCTCCTGCATTGGCAGGTGAATTCTTTACCACTAAGCCACCTGGGAAGCCCTAAAGCACTCTACATTAGTCCCCAAATTTTTTCTGTTCTCTTCCAGCTTTCTTGAAATATAATTGACACATACCATTATATAAACTTAAGGTATACATGATGGTATAAGCTTAAGGCTATACATACATATTGCAAAATGATTATTACAATAAGGTTAGTTAACACGTCCATCACCTTACATTAATTATGTGTGTGGGTGGGGGGAATGAAAGTACACTTAAAGTCTATTCTCTTAGCAACTTTCAACTAATAATATGATATTGTTAACTAAAGTTACTATGCTGCATAGTAGACCTCTGGAACATAATTATCTTGTATCTGGAAATTTGTAGCCTTTGACCAACATCTCTACATTTCCCCCATCCCCAGCCCCTGGCAACCATCAATATGCTCTATCCTACGAATTCGACTTTTTTAGATTCCACATATAAATGACATTGCACAGTATTTGTCTTTCTCTGATTTATTTTACTTAGCAAAATGTCCTCAAGGTTCATCCACATTGTCACAAATGTTCCATCAGTTTAAGATGTATATTCCCTAGAATGTATTTCTTAATTCTTTATGGGGGGAATCAAGGACTCCTTGAGTGCTGGTAACGAATAGGGACTTTCTTCTTGGAAAAAAAGGCATAGCACACACACACACACACACACAGTTTTTCACATTTCAAGGATGTCTGTAGACCCATTAAACCTGATAATGGACTCCAAATAAGAAATTTTAGTTTAGATATTTTAGATATTTTTAAAATATTTAAGATATTTTAGTTTAGATATTTTAAAAATCTCTCTAAGGTCTTAAATTCCAGAATTCAACAAGTTTATGTTATTGATGACCAGTGCACAGAAATGCAAACAGCTAAATCTGATTCTATTGCTTGATAACAGAAGTGAAATGAACCATAAACAGACAATACCAATGGGATGCAGCCTTCACTCACTACAGTCTAAATCCTCTCAGTGGCTCGCAGCCAATCAATGAGGACTGCAGCCAATTTTTAAAATAACTACATGAATAGTACACACAGTTAGTCTGTTAACTCTCTCAGAACCTAGGAAAATGAGAATGAACCCAATACACAATTCCCCTGGGCTATTACATATGGCTCTTAACAGGTATTTAATACATGTCAAATTTTCCAATTAAGATTATTCTCTGCAGAGTAACAGAAACTATATTGAGAATCCACTTTTACCTTGGATAGGCATAAGACAGTGAGTTAAAAGCTATATTCATCTCCCTTTAGAAAGAAAACCTGGTGAAAGCAATGGAGGATTTTTAAGGGTCTTAATTAATGTAACAGCAATTCAACTCCATTTGCTCCAGAAAGTCTGAACTTGGATAGGTAAGTAAATATTAAGCCACAAAGATTAAGCTGACCTTTCTGTAAGTAATTAGTAAAGCCGTCTCGTTGGTTTGGGTTTGGCCATTCCAGAGATGGTTGAACAAGCCAGAAGCTTCACTCCCACTTCTTAGGATTTTAAGGCAGTTGATCTTTCAGTATATGACCTTTGTCCCACCCACTGACTACTCACCACAACTTTATTGAAGTCCTGGATTGCAAAATACAGAGCAATGGCAGTAAGTGCATCAGTGATCTGTCAGAAGAAAGAGAAATGAGGAAATGAACCTACTAAGTGTAGGAGTAATGGAATGCCACCAGAATCGGTAGTTTTTGGATGGCAGTAGACTATCTAGTACTGAATTCTTATTATCAGGAAGAAAGTCAACCCTCACTTTGACCACAAAGATAAAGCCTTTTCAGGGAGATCTGAACCAGAAAACTCTGAGGATTAGGACCCACTGAGGCTTACATCAGTTTGGCGTCCCATATCTGTTCTGTAATTGCAAGGTATTTCAGCTTTCTATAAAAGGAAAATAATACCCATTGCTTTGCAGGGCTGACCCAGGTCAAGTGCTTAGCACACAGTATGTCCTCAATAAGCCACAGCCATTATAATTATAAAAGAAGACCTCAGTGGACCTCTTACTTGACCCAGATTTTCAACTCTAGATCAGGCAAGTGTTTCAAACCACTGCACTCAAAACACAGCCCCATTGTCTTAATTTTAAGGTTCTCGCCCTGAAAGTCTCATCTGGCCTATGTCCTCTTCACAGAATCCCTTGGCAAAATGCTTATGAAATTCAGGATGCCCTCTCCACTGGCGCCACAATTAAAGATAATCATAGAATCTTGAAGCTAGAAATTCAAGACTACAAAGTCCAGAAATGAAATTTTTAAAGTAGAATGAATTAGAACTGGGCAGATGTCAGAGACAACTCCTCACACATCCATTATACTATCACAGTCTTGTGAATTCACATTTAAAATAGCTTTTTGCTTTTATGTTCTGAGAAATTTCTGAGCTCCTGAAATAGACTTTTTTTTTTCCTTAAAAACAAGAGGATAAAGGATTTTAAAAACACATACATATTGATTTTATGTATAAGGTTACTTACCATAAATACCAATTCAGCATAGTCAATCAGAAAATGAAAGAGGTATATTATTAATGGAGTCTGCAGGAGAAAAACAAACAAATTAAATCTTACTATTGCCAGTTTCCAGAGTAGGGTATAGGAAAGAGGCTATTCTGTCAAGAAAAATCTCTTCTTTGAATAATGTTCTATGCTAGTTTGCCAACATACATATAAGGGAGAATTATTTAGTATCACTTGAATCATCTTGTGCCACTGGAACTGACTATCTGCTGAATTGACTAAAGAGAATAAACAAAATCCAGTATGTTTTAAATAGGCTTCCCTAGTGGCTCTGATGGTAAAGAATCTCCCTGCAATGCACGAGACCCAGTTCTATCTCTAGGTGGGGAAGATCCCCTGGAGAAGGGAAAGGCTACCCACTCCAGTATTCTTGCCTGAGGAATTCCAAAGACAGAGGAGCCTGGTGGGCTACAGTCCATGGTTGCAGAGTCGGACATGACTGAGCAACAAATAATATGTGTTAAATACCTGTTGAAAAACTGTTCACACAGTAAAGGTATGAGACAAATTTTAGTTTTAAGACATACTATATAACAGCCAAGGGACACTCTAAAACAGAGCAGGATTACTGAACTCATACAGTAAGATGGAAAATGCTTTCCCTTCTTCTGTTCTCTGAGATGTTCTATGTGATTAGTGTCATTCCCTCTTCAAACAGTTGGAAAAATAAACCACCATATCAATCTGGGTTTTCTTTGAGAGATTTTAAATTACAGATTCAATTTCTTTCACAGATAAAATGCTATTCAGATTTTCTTTTCTTTTCTTTGCCAATTTAAGTAAGTTGTGGTTTTCTAAGAATTTGTCCATTTCATATAAATTTTCAACTTTTCTGGCATAAAGCTGTTCATAATATTCTGTTAGTGCCTATAGTGCTCTGCCCTTTTTCATTCACAATATTGGTAACTGGCACCTTTTTTTATCTTAACAAATTTTGCCAGAGATTTCTTAATTTTATTAGTCTTTGAAACCACCAAATTTGGGCTTTAATGATTATTATACTTTTCTACTTCACTAATCTGTGGAAAATTCTGAAAGAGATGGGAATACCAGACCACCTGACGTGTCTCTTGAGAAACCTGTATGCAGGTCAGGAAGCAACAGTTAGAACTGGACATGGAACAACAGACTGGTTCCAAATAGGAAAAGGAGACATCAAGGCTGTATATTGTCACCCTGCTTATTTAACTTAAATGCAGAGTACATCATGAGAAACGCTGGGTTGGATGAAGCACAAGCTGGAATCAAGACTGCCGGGAGAAATATCAATAACCTGAGATATGCAGATAACACCACTCTTGTGGCAGAAAGCAAAGAAGAACTAAACAGTCTCTTATGAAAGTGAAAGAGGAGACTGGAAAGTTGGCTTAAAGCTCAACATTCAGAAAACTAAGATCATGGCATCTGGTCCCATCACTTCATGGCAAATAAATGGGCAAACAGTGGAAACAGAGGCTGACTTTCTTTGTTTGACTCCAAATCACTGCAGATGGTGATTGCAGCTGTGAAATTAAAAGATGCTTACTCCTTGGAAGAAAAGTTATGACCAACCTAGACAGCATATTGAAAAGCAGAGACATTACTTTGCCAACAAAGGTCCATCTAGTCGAGGCTATAGTTTTTCCAGTAGTCATGTATGGATGTGAGAGTTGGACTATAAAGAAAGCTGAGTGCCAAAGAATTGATGCTTTTGAACTGTGGTGTTGGAGAAGACTCTTTGAGAGTCCCTTGGACTGCAAGGAGATCCAACTAGTCCATCCTAAAGGAGATCAGTCCTGGGTGTTCATTGGAAGGACTGATGCTGAAGCTTAAACACCAATACTTTGGCCACCTGATGCAAAGAGCTGACTCATTTGAAAAGACCCTTATGCTGGGAAAGATTGAGGACGGGAGGAGAAGGGACAACAGAGGGTGAAATGGTTGGATGGCATCACCAACTCAATGGACATGAGTTTGGGTAAACTCCGGGAGTTGGTGATGGACAGGGAGGCCTGGCGTGCTGCGGTTCATGGGGTCACAAAGAGTTGGACATGACTGAGCGACTGAACTGAACTGAACTTCACTAATCTCTAAACTTCACAATACACAATTCTTTCTTCAAACTTTTATGGGGATAATTGCTTTATCTTTCTCTAATGATACCCAGATCACTGATTTTAGATTTTCTTCCTTCCTAACGTGGTCAACCCTCCAACAACATGGGGGTTAGTGGTACTGGCTCCCATGCAGTAAAAAATCTGAGTATAACTTTATAGTTGGCCCTCCATACCCATGGTTCTCCAGCCTCAAATTTAACCAACCTCAGATTGTGCAGTACTGCAGTATATATTTATTAGGAAAAAAAAATCTGCATATAAGTGAACCTACCTATGCAGTTCAAACCTATGTTGTTCAAGGGTCAATGCATATTCATTTAAAGCAATAAATTTTCCTCTGAGTATGGCTTTAGCTGTATCATACAAATTTTGATATGTTATTTTATCACCTTCAGTTTAAAATACTCGAAGTTCCGCTGAGATTGTTTTTTTTGAGACTAAAGTGTATAGTGTTTAATTTACAATTAAAGTTTTCTTTTTATATTTTTGTAATATATTTACTTTTATAGTCATAGAAAATACTATGTATTTCAATTTTGGTAAGTGTTCCACACACCATTGAAAAGAATATGCATATTAACATTTTTTGGTGTGATATTTTATGGATGACATCTAGGTTGTTTGTTAAGCATTTGTTCAAATTGGCTATGTCCTTATTGATCTTCTGGTCTGTTTGTTATATCAGTGACTAAGACATTTATGTTAAAATCTCCCTCTATGACTGTGGATTTGTCTATGTTTTCTTTTAGTCATGTCACTCTTATAGATTTTGAAGCTATGTAGTTAGATGAATTTAAGTGTAGAATTACTATATCATCTGGGTGTTGATCTATTATTAAAAATAATTCTCTTTGCCTCTAACAAAGTTTTTTGTCTTAAAATGTTCTACCAGCTTCCACTCTGGGCAGTTTGTCTTGCCCTCTGAGCGTTAGTTTCCTCAGCTATAAAACACATATAGTGACCTACTTCACATGGTTCTTGGACAATTAACTGGTAGTATTCACAAAGTACTCAGCATAGTGCCTAGCACACAGTAAACCTCAATATGTTAGCTACCTGAGATCAACTTTTTACCTCCTTTTGAAAATAGGGGCCTCAGCTTTGCCTTTCCAAGTTCTAAAAGAATTAAACTTTTACAACTATCTATTAATGGATTCTTTTTTGCATTTATCTTTGTCTGTAAGAGGTAGCAACCTGATATTTATATTACCAATGGCCTACTTTTGCAATGTTTTGATGCTTCACATAGTTTAGAATGGCACTAAATAGAACAGAACAAACTGTTCTCAAAAAGTCTATCAACATTGGGGCTTGTTTCCTTAACAAACTAACAAGTACATAGTAGTTAGTTTAACTGCATATTCCAACTCCCCTCCCCAGTTCTCACCTAAAGCCAACAAGGTCATTTCTTATTTCACTGAGAAAAGAGAAGCAATTACATGAGAACCACCTTATTTTCCCACTATCCAGTTGATCAATTTCCTCTATCTATAATTATACTCTCTACTTTTCTTGCATTAACAATGGAGGAAGTTCCATTCTTCCTATCTAAAACCAAATCCTCCACCTGTCAACTGGATCCCATTCCTTCCGACCTCCTCAAAGACATTGCTCATTTGATCTTGTTTCTTACATTCTCAACTTCTTATCCACAGAATTCTTCCCATCAGCATTCAAATATGCAGATCTTCATATTTTAAAAATCTTCACAAGACATCTCTATCCAGCTACCATACCATTTCTCTGCCCTGCTTTAGAGTGAAACTCCTCAAAAAGGTTGTCTCTACTCTGTCTTTCCATATCTTTCACTCAATGTATGTCATTAAGTTGCTTGTCCCTATACACCACTGAAATTACTACTGCTAAAGATCTCAATTTTGGCAAATTAATCATCAATTTTTAGTCTAAATTTTCTCAACTTTGAAATAGCATTTGACATCATTTTTGTTGTTGTTTAGTAGCTAAGTCATGTCCAACTCTTTCCAACTCCATGGACTGTAGCCCAGTAGGCTCCTCTGTCCATGGGATTTTGCAGGAAAGAACACTGGAGTGGTTTGCCATTTCCTTCTCCAGGGAATCATTCCCAACCCAAGGATCAAACCCACATCTCCTGCTTGGCAGGCAGATTCTATACCACTGAGCTACCTAGTAAGTTCTGACATAGTTTTTACTCTTTCCTTAAAGCATTTAGCTTCCGTGAACTACATTATCTTGATTTTTCACCCTTTCAGCTCTATTTGCTAGTATCTCTTTCCCTTCCCAACCTTGATGTACTGGACAGTTCCAGGTCCTCAAATTCCTCTTTACGTAAATTCACTCTCTAGGTATCTCAGTTATCTATTTCTGTGTAACAAATTATCCAAAAACTTAATAGCTTAAAACAGTATACATTTATTATCTCACACAGTGCCTGAGAGTCAGGAATCCGGGAATGGCTTAACTGGGTGGTTCTGGCACAGAGTCTCTCGTGAGATTGCAGCCAAAATGTCAGCTAAGGCTGAGGTATCTAAAAGAGCTTAAATATCTGCTCCCAAGCTTACTCATTTGGGTGTTGACAACAAGATTCATTTCCTCAACACAAAGGCTTCCTTAAGGTTGGTAATGACATGGCTTCCCCCAGAAAAAGCCTACAATGGAAGCTGTTAACTGGGTAGCTCTTGGGGAGATCATACCCCAAGACCAAAGGCCACTGCTACCTCCCTGAAACCCTGGATTGAGACCCTCACCTCCAGGTTGGCTACTCTACCTGAGACTCCACCTACTCTGACTGGGCTTACTACAAGGCCAATGTGAAGGCTGGCTTGGCAGATGACTTTGGAAAGAAGTTTAATTCCTTGCAGGTTCCCAGTTTGAGGCTAAAGAAAAAGATGCAAATACTGTCTGAGTTCTGTCTCTCTCAAAGGCCAGGATTAAGGAATAGGAGACAGCTGGAGAAGATGAAGAACACAGTTCCATTTTATCAGTAACCATTAAGAATTTGAATGAAGTCTTCCCAGAAACCAAATTAGACAAGAAGTATCCCAATTTGTCTTATACAGGAGGAAGCTCAAGCCCTCGTCTTACAAACTCTGTTTTTAATAAACAAACAAACAAACAAAAAATTAAATAAAACAATTATATTAAAAGATAGATAAAGAGGAGGGGTAAAGGAGGAGAGAAATAGGTGAGGGAGATTAAGAAGCACAAACTTTCAGTTGAAAAATAAATGAGTCACAGGTCTGAAATGTATAGCATGGGGAACATGATTAGTAATCATGTAATGTGGTATTGGAGAAGACTCCCGAGAGTACCTTGGAGATCAAACCAGTCAATTCTAAAGGAAATTAGTCCTGAATATTTATTGGAAGGACTGATGCTGAAGCTGAAACTTCAATACTTTGACCACCTGATGTGAAGAACTAACTCACTGGAAAAGACCCTTGTGCTGGGAAAGATCAAAGGCAGGAGGAGAAGGGGACGACAGAGGATGAGATGGTTGGATGGCATCACTGACTCTGGGACATAAGCTTGAGCAAGCTCCGGGAGTTGGTGATGGACTGGGAAGCCTGGCGTGCTGCAGTCCATGGGGTCGCAAAGAGTCAGACATGACTAGGTGGAATATCCTTGTATGTTGACAAATGACAACTAGACTTATGGTGAGCACTTAAAAATGTATACAAATATGGAGCCACTATGTTATATACTAGGAACTAACACAGTGTTGCAGGTAAAATATACTTCAAAAAGAAACAAAAAAGATCAGAGTAGGAGGGAAAACTAGATAAAGATAGTCAAAAGGTACAAATTTTCAGTTATAAGATAAGTAAGTTCTTTCTAAGGATGTAATGTACAATAAATAAGTAGCACTTCTGTAGTTATAAATGAAAGTTGTTAAGACAGTAAATCCTAAGAGTTTGCATCACAAGGGAAAAAAATTTCTATTTCATTAATGTTGTATCTGTAGTCATCATTTCATGATGTATAAAAGTTAAATCATTATGCTGTATAAAACTTACACAATGTTGTATGTCAATTACATCTCAATAAAAGTGGAAAAGAAAAGATACAGAGATAGATAGGGAGATAAAGAGATAGAAGGAAAATCCAAACTCCTAACCATGTCTACAAAAAGTCCTGTATCATCAGGCCCCTAATTTCTTATAACTTATCTCTATTATTCTCCTTTGCTCATATTGCCTTAGCAACACTGACCATCTTTCTGCAACTCACAAATGCCAAACTCTTTCCCAAATCAGGGCCATCATATGCCTTGCTTGGTTCATTTAGATCTCTTATTCAAATTTCACTTCCTCAAGTGCCTTCCCTGAACACACTAATATAGTCATATATATGACCACCATTCTTTATCCTTTTACTCAGCTTTATTTTTCTATATATACTTACCATTTAAGGGAAATCACATTTTAAAAAATTTAGCTTTATGGAGGTATAATTGGTATAAAAAAGATATACAACTTGACATGTTCTGACCTATGTATACACCCATGAAAGCATTACCACAATCAAGATGGTGAACATATCTACCATTCCCAAATGTTCACCTATTTTACTGTTCATCCCAAAGAACCAACTATATTTCTGTGACTTTCCATACTTTCTGCTTCATTTGTTTCCACTCAGATCGTTATTATTCCTTTTATTCTGCTTACTTTTGAGTTATCTTCTTTTTCTAGTTTCTTAAGGTAGAAACTGAGGTCAATGATTTGAGACCTTTCTTCTTTTTCAATATAGGCATTTTACATAATAAATTGCCCACATATTTTGATAGGCTGTGTTTTCATTTTCATGCACTCAAAGTATTAATTTCTCTTCTGATTTCTTCTTTGATCATGGTTTATTAAGGAATACGTTACTTAGCTTGCAAATACTTGGGGATTTTCCAGGTATCTTTCTGGTATTAATTTTTCACTTGATTCCATTGTGGTCAGAGAATATATTTGTATGATGTTTTTAGATTTAGAGCCTGTTTTATTACTCAGAATATGATCTATCTTGCAAATACACACTTGAAGGGATTATGTGTTTTGCTGTTACCGGATGGAATGTCCAGTAAATGTCAATGAGGTCAAAATGGTTGGTGTATTGTTCTAGTTTTCTATATCCTTGTTGACTGTCTGCTTGTTCTATCAATCATTTACAGAGCAATACTGAAATCTCAGACTATAATTGGAGACCTGTCTATTTCTCCTTGCATTTCCACCCATCTTCATGGACTTTGAAACTCTATTAGGTGCATAAGCATCAGGACTGTTATATCTTCTTGATAAACTGACCCCTTCAGCATGATGAGATTATCTTCTTTATCCTTGGCAATATTCTTTGCTCTTTTTACTAACTTACTGTCTGTTTCTCTCAGAAATATGAGTATAATAATGCCAAGGACTGTGTCTTATTTTATACCCCTAGCATCTAGCAGGGTAACTGGCATTTGGTGTGTACTTAATAACTCTTTGTTAAAGGAAAGAGAGAAGGGAAGAAGGTTGGAATACATATGCAGATACAGAGCAAGGCACTAGGAATAAGTGATCAAAAGGTGCCAGAACACATTCTAAGCAACACATACCATAATGGGTAAAACAAGTACAGAGGCAGTTTCAAGAGTATGATATAAGTCATGAAAAGGATAAGCACAAGATGCTTTGAAAGATACAGGAGAAACATCTAACTTAGTCTAAGGTGATGAGGGATGGCTTCCTGGAGGAGGCAAAACCTAAGCTAATATCTGAACAGCATGGTCAACCACAAAAATAGAGAAGAATGGCCCTCTATAAAAAGACAACAGCATGAGCAAAGACATAGGTAAGAGAGAATATGGTACTAGAGCATAATAAAACCATGTCAGAACTCTGTCAGGGGTTCCTATTCTGTCTACAAAACACACTGCCCAAAGCACACAGCACACTGAGCTCTCCTGGCTGCTAGGCTTTGCTTGTGTAAGCCCATACACTTCTGTTCCCAGTTTCTGAGTGGTGTGCTCATAAAGAGTCTCATAGACACTTCCCTGGTGGCTCAGATGGTAAAAGTGTCTGCCTACAATGTGGGAGACTGGGGTTCGATCCCTGGGTGGGGAAGATCCCCTGGAGAAGGAAATGGCAACCCACTACAGTATTCTTGCCTGGGAAATCCCATGGACAGAGGAGTCTGGTAGGCTACAGTCCATGGGGTCGCAAAGAGTCGGACACAACTGAACGGCTTCACTTTCACTTTCAAAGAGTCTCAAATTTTTCCTAACCTGTTTCTGCTAGCAGTTCTTGTTACTGAGGTTCAATTAGACAGTAATACAAAGATAATGAAATATGAATACAAAACAGTTGTTATCTCCATGAGAACCAAGTTGAATGCTTTAAAAAGACTAGACAGGAGAACCAAAAAACTGTTCTCCAAGTAGGTATGAGGGAGATAGTTGTAAAAACTAAGGACTAAATTGCCAAATTAGAAGATGTCTAAATGATCAAGCCAATAAAAAAGGGTGGGGGCTTTCCTGGCGGCTCAGTGGTAAGGAATTTGCATGCCAATGCAGGGGACATGGGTTCAATCCCCGGTCCTAGAAGACCCATATGCCGCAGAGCAACTAAGCCTGTGAGCCACAAGTATTGGCCCTGTGCTCTAGAGCCCAGGAGCCACAACTACTGAGCCCACATGCTATAACAGCTGAAGCCCTGGGGCCTACAGCCCATGCTCCACAGCAAAAGAAGCCATCACAATGAAAAGCCCGAGAGCTACAACCAAGAGTAGCCCCTGCTCGCCAAGACAGAAAGCCCACGCAACAATGAAGACCCAGCAGATGCAAACATAAAATTTTTTTTAAAAAGGGGCGGGGGGAGAAGTGGCAAGACATGTGGTTGATGGAGTGAGTAGGGCCCTAGGGCCCATAGGACTTTGCATGCACCCTAAGGTGCTTAGATTTTATCCTGAAATTAGTGCCAAGCAAGACAGTGACGAAATCAGATTCACATTTCAGGAAGATGGCTCTGACTACAGAATAAAACAAAAAGGAGCAAGACTGAATGCAGAAGGACTTGTCAGGAAGCTGTTCTAGTAACCCAAATAAGAGATGATGGTGACCTAAGAGTGATTTTACTATTCTTAAGAACTAACTTCATGGGTTAAATGGCTTTGGTGGGCTTTCTAAGAAACCAACACTGCTGACACAGTTTTCATGGGAAAGCAAGTTCCAAAGAACAAATTACATGCCAATCAGCATATAACCTATTCATGAACTACAAACTGTTTGCAACTTATCTGCCAACAAAAATGGCACCTTCCACAGAAGTCTCATCTGCTTCCCCAAATTATAATCTAAATATGGATCATTTCCACTGCAATTGTGAAACCCTCTTCTTAAGCAGAAGACATCTAAAAAGGAGCTGTTTCTAAATATGATTTTCAAAAATAGATCTTTTTAAATGTTTGTACAAAATAGAGGTTAGGTTTGGCATCTGTGACTATAAACTACTCTTAGTACCCAGAAAAGAAAGCAAAAACACTTACTTCATGAAATACTGCTCCAGAATAAGGAGACACTCCCAAGTCCAACAGTGAGAGGCCTTCAACCACTGAAAAGTAAGACAAGTTCACTCTTACTTTAGAGACATATGCAGACTGGCCATAAACCAAAGTGCTAGATACTCCCAAGAACAAGAAGGGCTTCCCAATTTGTCTAACCCCCTTTTACCTCATTCCCAGCAAGTGATTTTAAGTCTTGATTTCAGATGATGGTGAACCTTCTTCCCTACTTAGCAACTCTTTTCATTGTGGGGCAACACTCATTATGAAAAAATTTTATATTAAACCTTAACATTCTTTCAATATTCTTCTAACTTCCACCCATGCTAAAAAGGGTTTTGTCTGCAAATTCCCTGGTAGTCTGGTGGTATGGACTTGGCACTTTCCTGCCAGAGGCCCAGGTTCAATCCCTGGGCAGAAAACTAAGATTCTGCAAACCCCTGCCAAATAAATATATAATAACAAGTGTTTCACTTCTACATATTCTGTTCCATTGCAAAAAACAGCAAAATAACAAATTAGAAGCTGTGAGAAATATTTCCACAGAATAGGAAAATGGGCAGTCACTCTCACATGCTGACTGTTTGAGTGACATGTGTTATTAACTTTTCTACAAGCAACATGTATTTTTAAGTGTGTGCCTCCTGATCCAGAAACGATTGTTCTTAGGGTAGTTTATCCGGGGAAATAACTGGACAATTGCCCAAAGAAATATGTTCCTTATCATGCTCAGAGTACTAAAATATTAAAAATAAGCCCAAGTTTCAATAATGGATATTTATGTAAATGAATTAGGAAGTATATACATATATGAATGGGTGGATAGAGAAAAGCACTTTATAGTTAGAAATCACACTTTGCTATTAATAATTGAATAAATAAATAGGTAAAAGAGAAAACTCTTCCTTATAGAGAATTTAAGTGTCAAATGTAGAAGAAAGATGAAAATAGATAATCACCATTTGGCAGATCCCACAGTAATAATCAAGAAAGGCAAGTATCAATAATGGATACTAAAAATTAGTGGGTGAAAATATGACTGGAAACAGTATTTGCAAGGAGAAAAATAAAAACTTATGTGGGCAAACCTGGCATTCACTGTCTTTCTCAAGTGACCTACCTTAATATCACCAGTAATATGCTGACCAGTTAACATTATCAAGTTCCTCCTGACATGATTTATCATGATGGAGATAAAAAAACTTCTGTGGTGTTTATGCCAAAAATGTGGTTCTTACCAGAAAAACCATAACTTCAATCTCATCATGAGAAAACATGAAGAAAACCTAAACTGAGAGACAAAATAACTGGCCGACTCATTGGAAAAGACTCTGATGCTGGGAAAGATTGAAGGCAGGAGGAGAAGGGGATGACAGAGGACAAGATGATTGGATGGCATCACTGACTCAATGGACATGAGTTTGAGCAAGCTCCGGGTGATGGTGAAGGACAGGGAAGCCTGGCCTGCTACAGTCCATGGGGTCGCAAAGAGTTAGACACAACTGAGTGACTGAACAACAACATGAAGGAGGAAGCATCCCAGATAGGGGGACTAAGGATAGACAACAATTAAATGCAATATGGGATCATGATGGGATCTTGGACCAGAGAAAGGACATTGTGGAACAACTGGTAAAAATCCTGTAGGTTAGTTAATGGTATTATATCACTGTTAATTTTCTGGTTTAGGTCCTTGTACTACAATTATGTAGGATAGTAGCAGGAGAAGAAGCTGGGTAAAGGGTGGTAGTGGTGATTCAGTCGCTATGTCTGATTGTTGTTATCCCATAGAGAGTAGCTTGCCAGGCTCCTCAGTCCATGGGATTTTCCAGGCAAGAATAATGGAGTGCATTGCCATTCCCTTCTCCAGGGGATCTTCCTGAACCAGGGATCGAATCTGGGTCTCCTGCATTGCAGGTGGATTCCTTACCATCTGAGTCACCAGGGAAGCTATGGGATAATATTAAAACTCTAGCATTTAAAGTTTGAGAACATGAAAGGGGACTTCTGTGGTGCTGTTCTGTTTGTTGATCTAGGCGCTGGCTACATGGATGTAGACAGTTTGTAACAAATTCCTGGAGCTCTAAGTTTATTATACTTTAGAAAGAAAGTTCTTTAGAAAATCTTCAAACTCTGGCCCTAACCTCACCCCTATCCCATTACTCCCCTACTTCGGATACGTTCACTTCCTTCAACATTTCTTGATCCTGTTTATCTTCTACTTGGAATTTTCCTTTCTCTAATCTCCCTTTCCAAACTCTGCATCCTTCAAGAGTTAGCTCAAATTCCATAGCCTTAAGAAATTGGAAAAGGAGGGGACGCTTTCTTCAAGATCAAAACTCCAAGGAAGGAACTGGATGTACACAGGAAGTACACTTTCCACAAATGATTATAATTATCTATTTCTCCCATTAGCCTGTAGATCCTTTGGCCCAAATTCTGTCCCTTTAGTATAAAACAATGTTTGACGAAGAACTGCAAGGCCTAAGAAGACACAGTTGGAAAAACTTCCCTACAAGTCCCAGACGGAGAATAGGCTTCTAAGTACTCACACTCTTCCCTCCCTTAGGCAAGATTGGCCCCCGCACTGGGGCTCCCCTCACACACCACCCCACACCCCAGGGAACATCATGTGCGAATCTCCCGCCAAATCCTGATGCACTTCCCTCATCCTGACCCTTCCTCAGATCACGCCTCTCAGCTCGAAACCCGTGTGGGACACACCCCCTCAGATCTCCACCCCGCAGGTGACCGGCCTGTAGGGCCCCAACCTCACCACTGCCCCACGCTCCCTTCTCCCAACAGCCCCGCTCTCCCGCCTTCTCTAAGTATGCCTTGAGTGGGTCAGTTCCCTCAGAATCTTGAGCTTGCGACCAATGCCCCCGCCTTCCATTCACAGAGGCCAGGAGCGCACAGGCGGGACCTGACCGCCTACTCGAGCCGGTGGCCTCACCTCTCTTCCAGGAGCTCAGTGGGGACACCACCTCCACCCGCTCCGAGATGAACTCGGCCAGACTGGAGCGGAACAAGGCCGCCCGCACGGTCACGGCCACCACCAGCACCAGGGCCAAGGGAGCCGCCATGATAGCTGGGGCGGGCGCGCAAGCTGGGAGGGAAAGGCGAGTCGGAAGAGCCTGGACCTGCGCACCGCCCCCTGTAGTTCCGCGGTCCGGCGCACCTCGCTACTATCGCCGGGGCGGCCGGACTGGGGACTACCACTCCCAGGAAGCCATGCGGCGAAATGGGGGCGGGACGACGGCAAGCAGGGCGTCTCAAGCTCGTCTCAAAGGGTTGGGCGACGTCTCAGATGGTGGCAGGTGAACCGTAAAGCGCCCAGGGAACGAAATGCTCCTGGAAGAAGACAAGTGAAGGCAATTGTCCTCCTAAGATTGTGAACGAGATTTAAAAGACGTTTGTTTCACTCATGTCTATGTTTTTAATGCTTAAATTTTTCTTTTTTATGTTTTTCAGTAAGTTCAGTCGCTCAGTCGTGTCGGACTCTTTGCGACTCCATGGACTCCAGAAAGCCAAGCCTCCCTGACCATCCCCAACTCCAGGAGTTTACTCAAAGTCATGTCCATTGAGTCGGTGATGCCATCCAACCATCTCATCCTCTGTCGTCCCCTTCTCCTCCTGCCTTCAGTCTTTCCCAGCATTAGGATCTTTTCCAATGAGTCAGTTCTTCACATCAGGTGGCCAAAGTATGGGGGTTAAACTTCAGCATCAGTCCTTCCAATGACTATTCAGGACTGGTTTCCTTTAGGATGGACTGGTTGGATCTCCTTGCAGTCCAAGGAACCCTCAAGAGTCTTCTCTAGCACCACAGTTCAAAAGCATCAATTCTTTGGCTTTCTTTATAGTCCAACTCTCACATCCACATATGACTGCTGGAAAAACCATAGCTTTGACTAGATGGACCTTTGTTGGCAAAGTAATGTCTCTGCTTTTTAATATGCTATCTAGGTTGGTCATAGCATTTCTTCTAAGAAGCAAGCGTCTTAATTTCATGGCTGCAGTCACCACCTGTAGTGATTCTAGAGCCCCCCAAAATAAAGTCAGTCACTGTTTCCATTGTTTCCCTGTTTATTTGCCATGAAGTGATGGGACCAGGTGCCATGATCTTAGTTTTCTGAATGTTAAGTTTTAAGCCAATTTTTTCACTCTCTTTCACTTTCATCAAGAGGCTCTTTAGTTCTTTACTTTCTGCCATAAGGGTGGTATCATCTCATATCTGAGGTTATTGATATTTCTCCCAGCAATCTTGATTCCAGCTTGTGCTTCATCCAGCCTGGCATCTTGCATGATGAACTCTGCATAAGAAGTTAAACAAGCAGAGTGACAATATACAGCCTTGACATACTCCTTTCCTGATTTGGAACCAGTGTGTTGTTCCATGTCCAATTCTAGCTGTTGCTTCTCGACCTCCAAACAGATTTCTCAGGAGGCAGGTAAGGTGGTCTGGTATTCCCATCTCTTGAAGAATTTTCCACAGTTTTATGTTTTTAAAGAGTATTAAGTGTGTGTTCATTGACTTATTCTACAGTTTGTTGTTGTTCAGTCCCTAAATTCCCTCCAGCTCTGTTACCCCATGGACTGAAGCATGCCTGTCTTTCGTTTTCTCTGGGAGTTTACTCCAACTCATGTCCATGGGGTCAATGATGCCATCCTGACATCTCCTCCTGCCCTCAGTCTTTCCCAGCATCAGGGTCTTTTCCGATGAGTCCGCTGTTCACATCAGGTGGCCAAAGTATTGGAGCTTAAGCTTCAATATCAGTCCTTCCAATGAATACTCAGGGTTGATTTCCTTTAGGATGGACTAGTTTGATCTCCTTGCAGTCCAAGGGACTCTCAAGAGTCTTCTCCAGCACCACAGTTCAAAATCATCAATTCTTCAGTACTCAACCTTTTTTATTGTCCAGATGTCTCATCCTTACATGACTACTGGAAAAACCATAGCTTTGACTACACGAAACCTTAGATGTTAAAGTGAAGTCTCTGCTTTTTAATACACTAAGTTTTTCTTTCAAGGAGCAAGTGTCTTTTAATTTGATGACTACATTCACCATCCACAGTGATTTTGGATCCCAAGAAAACAAAATCTATTGTTATTTCGCCTTTTCCCACATCTATTTGCCATGAAATGATGGGTCCAGATGCCATGATCTTAGTTTTCTGAATGCTGAGTTTAAGCCAGCTTTTTCACTCTCCTCTTTCACCAGCATCAAGAGGCTCTTTAGTTCTTCTCCACTTTCTGCCATTAGAGTGGTGTCATTCTGCATACCTGAGGTTGTTGATATCTCTCCCAGCAATTTTGATTCCAGCTTGTGATTCATCCAGCTCAGCATTTCCTATGATGTATTCTGAATATAAGTTAGAGAAGCAGGGTGGTGATATACAGCCTTGACATATTGCTTTCTCAATTTTGAGCCAGTCTGTTGTTCCATGTCCAGTTCTGATTGTTGTTTCTTTACCTGCATAAAGGTTTATCAGGAGACAATTAAGGTGATCTGGTATTCCCATCCCTTTAAGAATTTTCCACGTGCATGCTAATTTTCCACATGCTTCAGTCATGTCCGACTCTTCACGGACATGTCCATTGGACATATGGACTGTCCATTCTCCAATGGACATATGGACTGTCCATTCTCCAGCCAGAAATATTGTCAGAATTCTCCAGACAGGCATACTAGAGTGAATTGCCATTTCCTCCTCCAGAGGATCTTCCCGACCCAAGGATCGGACCCAGATCTGTTATGTTTCCTGCATTGGCAGGCGGGTTTTTTTTATCACTAACACCACCTCGGAAGTTTGTAATCCACAGTCAAAGGCTTTAGTGTAGTCAAAGAAGCAGGAGTAGATGTTTTTCTGGAATTCTCTTGCTTTCCTGTGATCTAACAGATGTGTTGGCAATTTGATCTCTCATTCCTCTGCCTTTTCTAAATCCATCTTGTACATCTGGAAGTTCTCAGTTCACATAGTGCTGAAGCCTAGCTTGAAGTATTTTGATCACTACCTTGCTAGTATGTGAAATGAGCATAATTGTATGATAGTTTGAACATTCTTTGGCATTGCCTTTCTTTGGAATTGGAATGAAAACAACTTTTCCAGTCCTTTTCCAGTGGCCACTGCTGAGTTTTCCAAATTTGCTGAAATATTGAGTGCAGTACTTTAACAGCATCATATTTTAGGATTTTTATTTTATTTTATTTTATTTTTATTTTAGGATTTTTAAATAGCTTAGCTATATGACCCATCAATTCAACCCCTAGCTATATGTCCAAGAGAAATGAAATGTATGTCCACAAAGAAACTTGTGCACAAATATTCACAGTTTATTCATAGCTATTACATATAATAGCCCCAAAGTGGAAATAATCCAATTATCAACCCTGAATATTTTGTTTTCCTATGGATAGAAAAACAAGATGCACTATATCTATACAATGGACTATAATTGAGAAAATAATGATAATAATAATGAAGTACTGATGCATGCTACAATATGAATGAAACTTAAAAACATTATGCTAGGGACTTCCCTCATGGTCCAGTGGCTAAGACTTCGTGCTCCCAAAGCAGGGTGCCCGGTCAGGGAACTAGAACCGACAAGCCGAAACCAAAGATCCCCCATGCTGCAACGAACCTGAGTGCCCCAACTAAGTGCAGCCAGATACATAAACTAATATAAAAAACAAGCAAATGAAAACCAAAATATTATGCTAAGTGAAACAAGCCAGTCACAAAAGATCAGATATTTATGTGAATCTCTCTGTAGAGGCAGTGACTGCAGCCATGAAACTAAAAGATGATTGCTCCTTGGAAGGAAAGCTGTGACAAACCTAGACACCCCTATTAAAAAGCAGAGACATCACATTGCCAACAAAGGTCCGTATTGTCAAAGTTATGGTCTTTCTAGTAGTCATGTATGGGTGTGAGAGCTGGATCATAAAGAAAGCTGAGCACAGAAGAATTGATACTTTTGAGCTGAAGTGCTGGAGAAGACTCTTGAGAGTCCCTTGGACTGTAAGGAGATCAAACTAGTCAATCCTAGAGAAAATCAACCCTGAATATTCATCAGAACTGATGCTGAAGCTCCAAAACTTTGGCCACCTGATGAGAAGAGCCAGCTCTGGATAAGACCCTGACACTGGGAAAAACTGAAAGCAATAGGAGAAGGAGGCAGCAGAGAATGAGATGGTTAGATAGCATCACTGACTCAGTGGACATGAACCTGAGCAAACTCCGGGAGATAGTGAAGGACAGGGAAGCCTGGCATGCTACAGTCCATAGGATTGCAGAGTCAGACACAGCTTAGGGACTGAACAACAACCCTGTAGAGGCAAATCTATAGAGATGAAAAGTACTTGCCTAGGGCTGGGGTGGTTGGAAGGGTGAGGAATGGGAAATGACTGCTTATGGTACAGGATTTCTTTCTTTTTATTGTTTATTTATTTAGATGTGCCTGGTCTTAGTTGTGGCATGCAAGATCCTTAATTGCAGCATGCAAACTCCTAGTTGCAGCATATGGGATCTAGTTCCCTAACTAGTAAATCAAACCCAGGACCTCTGTGTTGGGAGCACAGAGTCTTAGCCACTGAACCACCAGGGAAGTCCCAGGATTTCTTTTTAGAGTGATGAAATGTTCTAAAATTAGTCTGTGGGAATGGTGGTACAACTCTGAATGCACCAAAAACCACTGAACTAGGTACATTAATTGGGTGAATTTTATATCATGTGTATTATGTCTTGATATCTTAAACTGACTAAGCATCAAAATCACTTGAGAGATTTTAATGTAAATTTCTTATTTCTGCCCTAGAAACTGATTCACTAGGTCTGGGGTGGAAACCAGGGACCTGCAATATTAATCTCTCCAGATTATCCTGATCCTGGTGGTTCAGAAGCCATACATTAGAAAACATTACCCTGAAGGCATAGGTTTCCAGTACTTTATGTAAAAAAAAGATGAAAATAGTAACAATAGCAAGCATCTAGTGCTTTGGCTTCCCAGGTGATGCTAGTGGTGAAAAACTTACCTAGCGATGCAGGAGACATAAGAGTTGTGGGTTCAATCCCTGGGTCAGGAAGATCCCTTGGAGGAGGACATGGCAATCCGCTCCAGTATTCTTGCCTGGAAAATCTCATGGACAGAGGAGCCCAGCAGGCTACAGTCCATAGGGTCAAAAAGAGTCACGCATGATTGAAATGACTTAGCACAGCACATTTAGTGCTTATTATGTGCTAAGTATTATTTTAAGTGATTTGCATGTCATT